CCTTGGTCTTCGCGGCGCAAGCCGGAGGCTGAAGCCAAGGTTCTGGTGGGAGTTGATCATCGGGGCCAGTTGAGTTTGGGACAGCTGTTCACATTGCTGTTGATCTTGCTTGCAGGGCTCATTGCATTGGGTTGGTTGACTTTTGGCCGACAGTGTTCAAAAGCACTGACAGAGGGTAGCAGGTCGCCCTTACAGAAGCGTGACTTGGCTCAGAGACAGCTGGCGGAACTACGGCTTCGTCGGCATGGCTTTGGTCAATAGACACATTTTGTTGGAGTACGATGTACCTGGACCCCGTCTTTGGCACGAACGTCTTGTACTCAGCCACGTGGCGGGTGAAGTGTACATCATTGCGACACCAGACCGTGATGTCTATGCTGAGGAGTTGGGGGTTTTGAACCCCGATGTACGAACTCTGAAAGTGAAGCCTGCTGCAGGTATTTTACCACCGGATGTCGTCGCCGGTGAGGTCTACGCTCTGCCTGCCTGGACTGCAAACGATTTGCACAACCTCCGGGAGGAAGGTCGCAGAGTAGCTGAGGAGGAACGTCGTGCCACGGCTGGTGGCGCTGGTCCTTTAGCGGCAGCCGCCGCAGCGGCGGCTCCGGTTGTTGCGGGGGGCCGCGGCATCCACCAAGATCGACCCGGTTGATGGCTATGAGGCTGGAACCCTGAAGTGGCTGGCGGCTGAATCCAACTCCAGCCACCAATATGGCCAAGAAGTTCAGGGGGTGCCCAATCCCCTGGTGAAAGACAGCAAGATTGCCCACATTGGAGCCCATGGTGTCAGTATCTTTCTTCAGTGTGCTGATGGTCATGATTATTTCAATTTTTTGCAGAGGCCAGCAAGGTGTGATCCCAGGGTGTTGCCTGTTGAGTTGAACCCTATTGGGCATCCGGAAAGGACTTTGAAGGAGGTCGCATCCATGGGCGCTGAAAGCAAAGTGAGGTGGGAGTTGGCCGGTCCACGTACCAGCAAATGGTGTGTGAACTATTTGGCCATCGAGAACCTTGGCTTCGAGGGGCACCATGAGAGACTCCGACAAGTCACAAAGGCTGATGCAAGTAGTTGGGGAATTCAGGAGCACTTCCAGGTCAGCATGGCCCTTCGCCAGGCCCTCCTTGTCGATCAACTTGACCCCTACAACCTGTTGAGCATTGAAATACAATTCAGGCGGCTCCAAACCATCGAGTACTCTTACAGCGAGAAGGCAAAGGATTTGGAGGCGAAGGCTGTGGGTGGACGGTTGAGTTTAGAAGAGCAGACCACTTTTGGAGGCATTACACGACAGTACAGTACATTGATGATTTGCCCCCAGTTGTTGGATCACGTCAAGATCGAGACCGAGAAGGAGGCCAACCTGGCCAAGAACTTGCGGAAGGCCCGCGAGGAAAGAGAAGCAGCTCGCAAGGGAGCGAAGAAGGGGAGTGACAAGTCAGAACACCCTTGAAATACCAGGTGCAGCAGAAGTCAGGCCTTGCAGCTGCTGCCATACCTTCAGAGGCCGTGCAAGTTCGGGAGGTGGACAGAGACATCTTTCCACTGCCAAGAGTTTTGAATTCAAGACCACCCTTGGGTCTTTTCTCGCGGAAATGTCAGCAGAGGATTGGCCGGAGGAGGCATTTTGAGCAGGAGGTGGATCACACAGTGGATGCCCTCAATACTATGTATGGACGGCCTGGAGGACCTCACAAGAGGTATGGTGGTTCAAACAGTGGACCAATCAGTTCTGGCCAGGCTCATGTTTTGGAATTTGTTGAAGATGCATGCAGGAGAGTAGGGGCCCCGCCTTTGCTCTCCGGCCCAGAGGCCCTTGAGGAGCTTCGGGTTGCTGAGGGGTACGATGACTTGCCGACTTCGTGCCCCCTTGGATCCTTCAATCCTGACCTGGTCTCATTGCCATCTGAGGGCATGAATCCCGCGCCTTTGGAGTGTTTGTGGGGCGAGGGCGGGCAACAAGAGGTGGAGGATTTCACCATTCACCAGACGCTGGGCATAGCAGAAGCTCGTGAGCGTCTAGACCAATGCGGCCTTAGCAAGTGTTATGAAGACCCGCAATTCAGAGACCGAAGAAAGTACGCCAGCTTCTTGCACAGGCTATTGGACCTGGGCCTCATCACCCTTGATTTGGAGCCGGCGGTTGAGACGGTGGGTATTTTCTTTGTGAAGAAGAAAGGTGGCAAACTTAGGATGATCTTAGATTGCAGGATGAGCAACTGCCATTTCAATACACCTGAGAACATCAAACTTGCCACCGGAGAGAGCATGAGTCGCATGGAGTTGAAATCACATGGACAATTGTTCACAGCCAGTGCAGACCTTCAGAAAGCTTTTTACACCATGGCCATGCCCAGCACCCTTCAGAAGTTTTTTTGGCCTGCGCAAGGTGCAAGTTGGAGAGCTAGGGGTTGCAGAGGTTGCTGGCATGAAACTACAGCCCACCTCTTGGGTCTACCCCCGCATTGCAGTGATCCCCATGGGTTGGTCTCATGCTATGTGGTGGTGCCAGAGGATAAGTGAACGCATTTGTGAAAGGTCCGGGCTGCTTCCGTCTGAGAGGCTGCGTGATGGGCAGCCACCACCTCAGGGAACCTTCTTCCACGTCCAGTATGTCGATAACCTCCACATTTTTGGAAACGACAAAGAGGAAGTGGAGACAAGGTTCTGGAAAGCAGTCGAGGCCCTACGGGCAGCTGGACTTACAGTACACGAGATAGAAGTTGCTGATGGCTCAAGCAAGGTCCTTGGTTGGGAGATTGAGGACGGAGGCTACCTGGCGCCGTCCTTGAGTCGGCTTTGGAGATGTCGCTTGGGCATCCGTGAGTTGCTACGACGGGGCCGTGCCAGTGGCCAACAGCTGGAGCGATTGATAGGGCACATGACCTTCGTCTCACTTTGTCGGCGTGAGTCCCTCTCAGTCCTGGGGGGATTGTTACACCTTCACCCAGCGCAACTATACCCACAGTGCAAACTTGTGGAAAAGTGTTCGCAGAGAGCTGTGGCAGTGGGATGGTATAGCGCCTCTCATACGGGTCAACATGAAGCTGGTTTGGGGGGGACACCATCTATGCCGTCGATGCTTCCGACTGGGGACTTGGGGTAGTTAGCAGTACAGTTGAACCCAGTTTTTCACAACAGCTTGGTCGCTATGTGGAGAGGTGGCGTTTCAAGGACGATGGCTGCAACAACCCCAGGTCTTTTGTGCAAGTTGAGGGGGGAGCTTGAAGGTGTTCACCATGCACAAGATGAAGGTTCAAATCCATCCCTCCGGTTCAAGGGGGTGCCCTTCACTGCTGTGGATCGCACCTGGCAGGTTGTGGGGCGAAAGCGCTGGCAAAGAGAAGAGACGATGCCTGTGTACGAGGCCCGGGCCACCCAGTATGCTGTCAGACACATCTTGAGGAGTCAGAAGAATTTTGGTAAGAAGTTCATTGTACTCACTGATAGCATGACAGCTGCTGTTTCTTTTGACAAGGGCCGTGCACAGAGTTTTAGGCTCCGGAGGGTCGTACAGCAGACGGCCGCTTTATGTTTGGGATCAGGGACGCTTTTTTCGGTGTCGTTGGGTGCCTAGCGAATGGAATCCCGCTGACGGGCCGAGTCGGAGTAAATTTGCTCCCTCCAAGCCGGTTTACAGATTTTGGGATGATTCACAGACAACTGGGCATTCAGGTGACATGGGACAGACCCTCGGAACGAAAACGAAAGACGTCCAGTCTGCAACAGAGACCCACCAAGAGAGCCAAGCTGCGAGAGGCCGCCCAGGGAGGTTTAGGGGGTTCGGCGGTGACCGATCACCAACTTGCCCCCCTCACCTGGGACATAGAACTCAGCAACATGCCCGCAGCCGAAAAGAAGAGACAAAGAGCCAGGAGACGACAGCAGAAGCCTCCAGAACCAGGTATGGGGGTGCTCCGCAGTTCATCGGTGGGGAAATTCACCCTCAAGAGGTACAGAGAGATGTGGCAGAACTTTGTCCAGTGGAGCGCAGGCCAAGTGCGACAGACCATGACGTGGACCCAGCTGGACAGACACCTGAGCAATTACCTCGAGGAGCTTTACCTCGAGGGAGAAGACCTGAGCCGTGCAAACTATGTGACTGCTGCCGTGATTTTCCATGTGCCGGGAACCAAAGGCCCGGCAGCCGTTCCAAGGGCCCAACAAGCCATGAAGGGGTGGCGAGGCCATCTGTCTGGTGGCCAACAAGGCGATGGACCTGGGTCAGCACGAGATTGCATAGGTTTTGATGATGACATTTCTCTTGTATTTGAGGCCTGGCGAGGCCTTCTCCCTCAGAGTCCAAGATTTGGTCCTGCCGTTGAGACGAAGCGGCAAGGCCTTCAAAGATCATGCCATTCTGCTCCATCCGCTGGAAGTGGGGGTGCCATCCAAAACAAAACAGTGGGACGAGATGTTGACACTCGATCTGCCCCACCTGAAGTTTTTGGGTCCCGCATTGGAGCGTTGGATGCAGGTACATCACAGGAGCAAGGACGAGCCTTTGTTCCAGGCCACTCTTCAAGAGACAAACCAGTTCCTAGAGGACCAGTGGAAACCTCTGGGGTTGCAACCTTTGGGAGCTCCGCACATGTACCGTCTCCGCCACGGTGGAGCATCGTTCGAGGCGGCAAACCAGTTGAGAGAGATCTCAGGCATTCAAGCTCGGGGTCGCTGGCTGACGCAAAAGTCCATGAAGAATTACGAGAAAGGGGGGGCGCCTTCAACAGCTGTTCGGAAGCCTCAGCAAGCGCACTCAAAAAGATGCACTTCAGGCCGCCAAAGACGTCGTCAGGCGGCTGTTGAAAAAGCATTGAGCCCCAAGGCATCGTTGAAAGTTGCAGTATTCATTGAGATTTTTTTGTGGGTGTGGTCGATTAGGTAGAAGCGTTGCACATGTTACAGCTTGGCCGGTTCTGCTCTGGGACATTGCTTTTGGCCCTGATTATGACTTGACCAAGCGAAAGCATCAACAGTTGATATTAGGTTGGTTGCAAGCTGGCTTGATCCGGGGTGGACACCTCGGTACCCCATGCAACAGCTTTAGCAGAGCAAGAGACCGACCTGGAGGACCCCCGCGGTTGAGGAGCGATGAACTGCCTCTTGGGTTACCCAACTTGCGGCCCGTCGACTCCGAAAAGATCCGTGTGGGAAACTGTTTGATGTTTTTCAGTTGCGCAGTGCTTCGGTTGGCTTTGCATTGGCAACTACCGTTCACCATGGAGAACCCTTCACGATCGAGAATCTGGTTGTGTCCCTCGGTGCGATGGCTGCTGAAACGGCGCAATGTGAGCTTTGAGACAGTTCATTACTGTGCTTTTGGAACACGGTGGAAAAAACCCACCTCATTCCTGGGTACTTTTTTGGACCTCTCGGTGTTGTCACACTACAAATGCCACAGCAGTCGACGAGGCATCTGCCAATACAGCCACAAGCCACACCTTCCTCTCATGGGACAGAATGAGCAAGGTGTATGGTACACTAAGTTGGCCGAACCCTACCCCAACTCGTTGACAAAGGTTGTTGCAGTTGCCTTCAACAACAGCGAACTTTCACAGCTTGCAATGGCATTTCAACGCCACTGTTGAACAGCAATGTTTGTTTTGAAAGCGGCTACACCAGAGGGCTCCGTGCAACACTGGGCAAGGTTGGGTGGTGGCAGAAGACGACTTGGTTGGACGCTGCAGCTTTCAGCATGTTTTCACTAGCGCTTAGATGTGCACTGGCCTTGAGTGAAAAGATGCGACCGGATGCAT